GACACGTTTCGAAATACATTGAAAAAAAGAACGTGTTCAAACTATTCTGCAAGCATGTAATGTAATAGAAACGATATATTTGTAGAATATAAATTCATGAGAGAAAAGCCGATGAAGTTACTTTACGTAGGCAGAAGTTTCGCTACAACGTTTAATTTACCGTGATATTTCAGTTTTTTCAAGATTATCGATTCAAATTCCTGCTAAGCATCAGAGGCAGCACGGAAATAGGAGAATTAAAAATACCGCAACATACGATGATATTGAAACACTTCACGGATCAATTATTATGGATTATTATGGATCGGTGAACACACGGTTTTGCATTACGTCATGTCGACGCGTTACGTTGCATGTATAACACGCTATTACGTTGCTCTGTATCAATTAAGCACCGTCACAAGAACGTAACGGAGTTGCGTCCTCATGCAACTCGCGCGTTTGCATTGTGCGACGCGTTACGAGGAGACGCAACAAAAAATAAAAGAAAAGAAAGAAAGAAAAAAACAAACGAGACTCTCGATGAGGCAAATGACGTCGCGAAGTGAACGCGTAAAACGCGCGACGTGGTGAAGAACACGCGAAGAAGGTATAAATTAGCGTCGCTCATACCTGAGCGCGCGCAGAGGTAAAACATGGCGCCAAAACGTTTATACAGCGATACACACAGGTCGCCGCTTTCGTCGAAAACTGGTGCAGCCGGCGTGCAGCTTTGCGGCACGAGCGAACCGCACGGCGGCACGCGTGATTCAACAGATGGCAATAAAATCATTATGAATTATGATTGCCCAACGAGTCACTCGGTTTCTACGATTTCGGTGTAATTAATGACGCTTATTATCGCAACAATATAAGCTCGGCCGGATTTACGAGAAAATAGGTTATTCAGAACAATTGTGTGTGTGCGCGCGCACGCACAAACACACATAAACATATTAATAGAGTCTAATATTCGCGAGCCTTAAATACCGCGACAAAACGGGATAGCCGAATTAAACATATAAACGAAACGATCTGACCTGGTTTAACGTTGCGCGGAATTAACGTATCATCACGCTGTTATTGATTATTATGGGGCTGGGGCTGTGTTGCTTACAGTGAAGATTGCAAACCTTTAATTGAATGTCCAACTGGGAGCGTCATCCGAATAGTATTCAGCTTTTCTTATCTTTTCTTTAGTTTTTTTTCTTTTTCACTTAGATTCGTGTTTTGTCGTCAACATGAAAGAATATTATGTACTTTTTATTTTTTAGAAAAATCACTCTACAACTGAACGATTCGTAGCTATTTCAAGTTGAGTAACTCGGGAAACTGTTTCTACTAGTTACTTATATGTGACGAAATATTATGTACAGAAATGTTTATATATATACATATATATCTCGATCGAAACGCGCGAGCTTCTCGACTGACTGTCTTTTCGGCATTTTTACGAACGAAATTGGAAAATCTTGATCGTTCATCAGAACTTATCTCTATACAACTCTCCGAGAAACTTCAAGAAAAGGATATCGCAATCTCAACGAAATGCAAGACGAAACATCCTGTGGAAGAGGAGCCCTGAACTGACGATGTCACGTGTATACATGAAGTCGAGAATGACGTGTATAATCGTCGGCGCGCAAACCCGGCAGAGGAACCAACCGACCGCGGACATGGAAGACGAGGATTCTGCTAAAAATAATACCTGTGGAGACGCACGCAGCCGGAGAGAACGAACGCTGGTCTGCTGCCGCTGCTGACCAAACATCGCGTGGCCCCGAATAAACGACGAACGAGCGAATGAACCGAGTTCTGCCGTGACCCGTCGAACTCGCGGATAGATTCAGCAACGAAATTATTATACGAATCAATGTTTCATCGGGTCAAGGAGTCGTGATTTGCACAATTGCTGTTTTATATTCTCTGCATACAGAATGCAGTATAAGCGCGTGTCAAGAAAACTTGGACAAAAAGAAAAAGAAGATACGGAAATCGCGCAAAATTGTTGAGGAAAAAATTGACTTTGTTGCAATCTACGAACTCTTACTAATGTAGGAAATATGCTTGATCCTGTATGAGAGATTAAACCAGAGGAACGGGGGAGGGCGGGGCAGGGACGTGAAGACGCGAAACGAATGTATATATGCATGAAAGAAACAGAAAGAAGAAGACGGGGTGGGAGGTGAGAGAAATCTGTTTATTGTGAAGAGGTGAGTAAACATAATAGTACGCCTTACGAATGCAAAACATGGGCAGCTTGACTCAACCGCTATTTTAAATGTAAATTTTATGCCAGCTGTTTTATCTGAATGAGTCCGGTTATGAGTCTGCAAACTTGTAGACGCGAAAGTGAGACGAAAACGTACGGCAAAATCTCACGCGAGAGAGAAAGAGATAAGAAGATTTATTTATAAGCCCTGGGAAAGATACTTTCAAACGTACACAGAGAGAGAGCGTGAGAGAGAAAGAGAGAACGTCTAATATCTCGCATAATACGCGGTTAACTGTGAACAATTACTGTGAAAAATTACAAAATTGAAAGTTTCATGTGCAGACCGAGCAATTAAGTGTCAAAAAAATATAAGCGCGTGTAACGGCACTTGGAAACTCCTTCAGACATTTGCTTTCTTTTCTTATTTCAATACCTGAATTGCATTTTCAAAAACATTTTCGGCACTCCGCTCGATCGCGGGCACGAGTTAACGCGCAGCGCTGTCGAGCTGCGCTGGATGGACAATGCGGTTATCCGAGGAGATAGAAGGTCAGGACTTTCTACGCGCGGAGAGGAAGACCGGGCCGCGAGTTTAGTGTACCACGGAGAGAGAGAGAAACACCGTTAGGACACTAAACTTTTATTGCGACCCGTTTTCCGTTCGCCTCGTAGGCCTCTAAGTACACGCGCGCGTATATGGGCGTCACCGAAACCCGAGGCCGAGTACGCCGTTAATCGGAATGCCGCGGAGAAGAGCTCACCTCCTCATTCTCTCGCATGCTTCTTCTCCGCGACGACGACACATTCCTCCGTTTATAATCCGCGCCGACTTTTCTCACCTCACCAAGAGCCTCCACCTGTAAAAGCGCGCGCTTCCTACTCGATGCAAAAAAGCAGCTTTTATCGTTATTCCTTCATATACTTTCCGGCGTGCGTGTTTGTTCCTTCTAGAGTCATCTCGAGAATTATATCGCCACGAGACATTTCACCAACACAAGACAAGCAAGTCGATAATGTGACGAATGAGGAGACGCATTCGTTTGTATATCGCAGTGATACGTTGTTGAGGGAACGTCCCACCACCTGACCAACGTCGGCACATCATGTTCGTGCAGCCGGGCGAAGCTCTCTGAATTTCACGCGGCTTCGGAAAGTGAAGTGAGCCGAACTGGCCGAGCGGTGTGAAAGGCGCGCGCGGAAGAGTGAGCTCCTTCACATCAGGGCTCAGTCATCCGGAAATTTGCTTATTCACAACAATTATATTTCTCTCTCACATCTCAAACTTATCTGCAGCGTATCTGAACGTTTCGTAATGACTTCTGGAACTTTCCTTGCGTAACATTCCGTACACGTTCCGAGACTTAAACTGTGACAAAGACGCTGAAATCAGCCTACCATTCTTTCTACTCCTTACAAGCGATCATCTCGGGCGTATAAATTAGAAAACTTCAAGTCACTGTACGACTATCAGACGCGGAAGAAAGGAAACGTCTGGCATATATAAAACAACGTTCATTTCGTAACTCCTTTGGGGAGGGGGGAGTAACACCGTAACAACGCTGCAACATTGATTTTATTCTCGTTCCTCACTCAATAGCGTTTCGACTAACGCGGTCGTCGTCCTAACATAGTCGCACGACGCGCAATTTCAACAGACGTAAGATTCCACGGAAGTTCACGTAATTGCCTCACGGACAAATACAGGACCTTACAGGTTCGTTGTAGTAAGCAAAGAAAAGGGTTTGCCGTTATTGTCTATAAATAGGAAAGAGTTATCCACGTTATAATCAGCACCCGCCCGCGTGCGCGCACGCGCGCGGGATGCCCGACATCGCGCGTTTCACTTTTGTGCTCGTGCCGTTTTGCATCGCAAAAGCACGCTATAATTGTCTATAGTTGTAAAGGCAGGCGCGTCAATCGACGAGAGACTGAAAGCAGTGGGCGACGCGCGGCCCGATATACGCGACGCGATGCACCAAAATAATCAGCCGCTCGACCGATGGGAGCGTCAAACGAGCAGAAACGGCTATGGCGGCGGCGGCGGCGGCGGTGGGGAGGGAAGAGACGGAAGATAGCTGGCATCTACGAACCTATAAACACACGACGCGGTACACGCACACATACGGAAAGATGGGGGGAGAGAGAGATTGAACGAACGGCCAGTAGCAGCAGCAGCAGCAGACACGGTCGTCGGTCGCGTAACCGCGGTACAACGACCCCCGTCGCGAGCTCCAACTCTAGCTCCGCCGCTAATTACAACGCTCCCTTGAAGCGAGAAGCTGTCACGGATGCATCGCGACCAAATCGTGCAAGCTTGAGAGAGATGCCCGTTTTTGAGAGCGCAACGACGTTTCTATTCAGGCAAACGCAAGCCCTCCTACACGATTTGCGGGAAACATACCGGGGTGCAACGAGACGTGGTGTGACACCACGTGTGCGATCACTTCGTCGTTACTGCACTCGCTCGATGCGCGCGCGTCATCCTTGCATCACGAGTTGATTGTTATCGTTAGTATCGAATTCGTTGTCGCGGACGCTTACGACGAGAATTTAAGCTCCAAGCCTCAAGAAATTGACCAATCACAGTCGAATATAACGGGCTGTAACTTTTTCAAGGCTCGGAGCTCAAATTCTCATTGCAGCACTGTCTACTCGTATCGATATATGTACCCC